TTATATCTATTTATATCTATATAAGAGAGATTATAAAAAAAAAAGTATCTCAACATTTTTCTTTATCCGTAAGCTGAATGAGTAAACAGGGTTTATAATGGGTTAATTTAATGTAAGCAATCTGACATAGCATCAGAGGCACACTTTCACCTCATTCCATGCTGTGTCATTTGGAGATGAGAACTTAACATTGGCATCACTGCCTTCTATTTAATGTGTCCCTTAAGATTCCCTGGGAAAAAAGGAGTCACTCTGATGGAACTGCATCGCCTGTATGTGAAATGCTGGTGTAGATTTTTTTTTTATCAGTCTAACCTTCTGTGTTAATACATGAATGCTGGTACCCACTTACAGGGATGCCAGATGATCAGTGCAGAATGAAGGTCCCTGGGGAATGCATCATGTGGTTCTCTGCCCTGTGACGTCACCAGCAGATGGCATGGGTACCAGCTCTGGCAGTTGGCATCAATGTCACTTTTTTAGAGATCAATGAGATACACACATATCTAGACTCCTGGAGATGATGCGACATTCGGACTAATTTAGAAGACAAAAAATGAAAACTGCTTGCTGATTTAAACAAGTTTGGAGGTAATTCTTTTCTGCTTTAACATATTTATCTTGCATACTATGTTGGAAGGTACTACAGCTATTGTTTGTGATTGTTTATTGTCGTTCTCGTTATCATTATCAAGCCATATGGGTCTTTTCCTGAAAAATAATAAGAATGTCTCATTTAAATGATAACAGTATAGCCTGCATGTTCTGAACTTGGTCTATTATAGCATGCCTGCAGAATTTTCTAATGAGAATATTGCTTTAGCAAAGGCTCATTTGATAAGGGAAAAGGTTTTTGTTTTTTTTACTTTTGATCTGATGCATGTCATAATATCTGTAAAGGCATTTGACATATGGAAAGGAAATGACATGTCACTTTATTTTATCTTTAGGGAGTATTAGTTTCCACACAGTAAAATAGTGGAGGTTTGCTAATAAATAATTGTTGAGGATATTCCCGATATGAATGTTGCTATTCATCTCTGACACTGTCTTTAATTTCACATTTTAAAATAGTTTAGATGCAATAACCATGGCAGACCATACAGGCAGGATAAAACAATTATTAGATGTCATAATGTTTAATTATTTCGTTTACAGGGCAATTCCTTTGCAGGTATTATCAAAAGGTGGAAACTGATTTTATTTTGGACTTTTTCTATTAAACAAATTTGGGGAAGTGCATTTTCTGAATGCTTGTTTTTAATACAGTTAGGTAGCTCTGTATAAGTGTTCAGTTATTAATAAGAAACACTATTTTTTATGTAAACATTTTGCCAGCAATGTATGCAGCTTGTATTGGGTAGTTATTTATCAGTAATATGGGCACATATGGTTTTGTCATTTCAGGGGATTTAATTCTAAGCAACAATGTTAACACTTCCTTTTGATGAATCTGTTGTGATGACGGAATCGCAGCTCTGTAAAAAATATGCACGGGAAAGTGAGGATCAAAAAGCAGCAAAGAAACCAGAAAGCTGCACTAAACAGCTAGTGTCCCATGGGAAAAATATCAAAAGGTCCCCTGAAGAGGAAACAGAGCAGGAAGAAGAGGAAGAGGACAAGGAGGAAGAGGATGAAAATGGATTGCCAAGAAGGAGGGGACCAAGAAAAAAAAAGATGACCAAGGTTAGGTTTGAGAGGATTAAGATAAGACGAGTTGAGGCTAATGCAAGAGAAAGGGGTCGGATGCATGGCCTCAATGATGCACTGGACAGTTTACGGAAAGTTGTACCATGCTATTCCAAGACACAAAAGCTTTCTAAAATAGAAACTTTGAGGCTGGCCAAAAACTACATTTGGGCTCTGGCTGAGATTCTCAGGATTGGGAAAAGGCCAGATCTTCTCACCTTTGTTCAAAATTTATGCAAAGGTTTGTCCCAGCCAACCACAAATTTGGTGGCTGGGTGCCTGCAGCTTAATGCCAGAAGTTTTCTCATGGGTCAGAGTGGAGACACTGTACATCATGGAAGATCTCCATACAGCTCTATTTACCCTCCTTATCACAGTCCTGAGCTTAGTACCCCACCAGGCCATGGGAGTCTTGACAGTTACAAGACAGGAAAACCTTACAATTACTGTAGTGCTTATGAATCCTTTTATGAAAGCACCTCTCCTGAGTGCACCAGCCCTCAGTTTGAAGGTCCCTTAAGCCCTCATTCTATGAACTATAATGGGATATTTTCCCTGAAGCAAGAAGAGGCCGTGGACTATGGGAAAAATTACAATTATGGCATGCATTACTGTGCAGTGCCAGGCAGGGGTCCCCTTGGGCAGAGCTCTATGTTCAAGTTGCCTACAGACAGCCACTTCCCTTATGACTTCCATCTGCGCAGCCAGTCTCTCGCCATGCAAGATGAATTAAATGCAGTTTTTCATAATTAATGAGGAAAATGAATATAAACAGTGGTCAATCACCTCCCTCCCCCCTTCTAATTAAGATAAAGCAGATGCTTGTTCACACAGTAATTGACACGGCTTGATTAAGGTATCACCGCAGTCCCGAAAGTGTGTTTTAAACTTCTGTGGTCTTGCTTGTTTGTTCTTCAATCCATCTGTAAAAGCCAGATCCGATGCTATATTTTACCTTATGATTCGTTTTAATATTTTATTTGAAGATCGTGTTTAATTCATGCACTAAAAGGATATTTTATGTTCATTTGTTAAAAAGAAACTCTGTTGACGTTATGTGTAAAAATAAAGAAATGTACACTATTACTATTCCAATGTCTATCTTGTTTGCGCACAGACAATTTAAAACAATCAATATTAAACTGTTTTCTACCAGAGGGGCCTGTAAGCAATTGCAATGAAATGCCTTGCAGGCCTCATTTAAAATGAACAGATTAGTGACTGCATAACAATACACAATTGAAGCTCATTAATCTCAGAATAGGAAAGTTGAGACTGAACATGAAAAGTTCATCAGATGAAATATAATCAAAAATGGTGTCAAAACTGCTATTACTAGCTTCAAAAAAATCTATGCTGTTCTCAAGCTCAGAATGGTAAATTAGTGGACGCAGATGGCTGGGGATCGAGTGTAAGATTTTGAATTTTTAATTAATAGGTGTTACAGACCATCTCACTAAAATGCATCACTACTTTGCACAGATTAAATTAAATATAAAATACCATTTGGAGTTTTTTCATGATGCTACTGTTACACCATATGTCCATATTTAAGAAAAACGTATTTTTAACCTAAATGTTATTGCTGCTCTGCATATATGTAAAACACATTTTCAAGTACATCAGCGTAATTAATCACAATTGCTTGGCTTAGGAAACATGCTTTCCTAAATCTTATAAAAAACAAACACTGGCATATTGTTTATTAATTCCAAACAACTTCTTTAATCTGTGCTGCAATTTTAAGTTTCAATAATTTTAATGTGTATATCAAACTTGGCCTTTTGAACATTTATATTTATCCAAGTCCTTTGTGATGTGCTTATAGAATGAATACAAATGTACTAGCTGCATTTTTTATGTTTTCTTCTGACTTTGAAGAAACATTTTAACAATAACATCATGCAATTACAAAGGCTTCAAACAAACTTCAACATAGTTTGTATTCAATAATAAGGATAGCTGGTCAGCTACCTTATATAAGCAGGTCAAAGACAGTCATTTTAAAGCTTAAAGGATGCTAGTTGTGAAGGTTTTGAGAATATAAATGTTTTTTTAAATCCAGGCCTTTCTCTCTTTCATAAACTTGAGATATATGTTTTAAAAATAGAAAAATTAATAATTCATTTAGATAAGACATCAAGTTATAAACAGCTAGTTCATTGTACTATAGTTGACAACAAACATCATACACTGGAAAACGTAAAGCTATAAGTTTGTTTTTGAGGGTCATGCTAACGGTTGTTTGACACCTGTGAGTTGTAGAACATGAACACTGCGATTTGCAAAATTCTCATTATTGTTCATGATTTAATGTATTTGTTTCTTACAAAATTACCAGTATCCACTGTAAACTATGTAAATATACACATATATTTGGAGTCTGGCAAAGACTGGATGATGTTTGTCTGAGCGGACACCTTAATAGTGAATGTGCTAACACATATAAAATGTATCGTGTACCATATACTTTTCAAGAGTAAGCTACTAAATGGAGTAATTTATAAGGTGATTTCTAAACCTATATTAAATTCACAGTTCAATCTTAGTTAGTTTATATTAAAACAAAGAAAAATATTCTTAATATCACTAGGCGTTTGAAGTGAACACAACTGCTGGGCCTATTTAAACATGTGTTCTCCTGTAGTTTTCTATAGTTGTATAGAATATGGTGCATATATGCATTGGTCTTTTTATTCTCAGCTAGTGTCTTCAATTATATGTATTTAATGAAAAAATGAATGGCCCAGTAAAAAACAAGATTATAAAAGGCTGAACTTCATTAAATAAAAATTTATAAAAGACAGATGGTACTAAACATTCTTTTTTCTACTTTACTAATTATCTTTAGAGATATGAACTGAACTGTATGTATAACATATAACATACTTATAATTTGTATGTTCTAAACTACTGCAATTGTTTCATATTTTCTATTGAATAAATGTGCTAGGTAATGCTATACATACAGTTCAAGGCAATGCAATGGTGAATACACAGCATTATATGGGATGATTAGAAAAACGTCTAATATTTCTTAAATTGCTGTAAAGTAAGTGAAAAGAAAATACTTTTATTAAAATATAATCTTTTTTTGACATTAATACTGCATACATTGCAATTAAAAAAGGAAATATAGCATTCAAGCAGCATAACAAGAAGGCACAAAATGTATTCATAGCTTGCGTTCAAATAATTTACATTCAATTTCAACTTAATGTAGACATTTTTTTGGTGTGCATATATGACAAAATAACGGTAAGGTACATAAAGTGATGCATTAAATAAATTGTTGGTTAGGAAATTCTACATACATTGATCAGCCAATTATTGCATAATGGTTTAAGAAATCCTAAAACTATGTATAATCGATATATACACATCAATAATTAGTGGTCAGCTTTTTAACTACGGTACTCAGAAACTGCACTGAATGAACATATTAGTATATATATATATATATACATACACACACCACACACACACATATACATAAATAATGTTTTTTTGCCAGATAAAATAGATCTAAACCTAATAAAACTATATTTTGTTTTTTATGTTGACAAATTGTTGAAAAAATATTTGTTAATTTTTTAATTGGCATTTACATTACATTAGAAAGCCTGTACTATAGAGAAAATGAATTAGTTTAGTGATTTATGAAGCTAAGCTATCATGTTACCAGATTTAGTTCAAATAAGACCACAATTAAAATATATATCGTTACCCCTATCTTATTTAATATTATATTTTGTTTTAAAGGTTCAAAATAAGCATGTATTACTTATAAGTTCCTAAATCTACAAAAACAAATAAATATAGAAATTAATTGGTCACATACAAACAGATATTGTTTGTAGCACTAAAAGTTATAACTGTTGAAAATACACCAGAATTGTGATGTCCAGGACATAATGATATAGCCAAGTCGTAACAGCATGGGATCTTTATGTTCATTCAGACAAGTGCATTCAGAGATGATTGAATTAACCCTGTAGCATATTTTAACCATCCCAAAGCCTGCATAATATTTTAGAAGCTGTTAAGAATGAACAAATTTCCCAAGTAAGCCATACCTATACAAGTTAAAAATGCTAATCCTTTGTCTCTCCATCTGCTGTGCTCTCACAGAAACACAAGAAAGCAAGCTCATTAATGTGCCAGTTCACTGTTACAAACACAATAACTGTTGTTCACAAAACAGTAAATCTTTGTAATAAATTATAAAAAAATCAACATATCACATAGCCGTTCCTATGTTTATATTTTAGTACTGAGAAAATGATTTTTGACACGATCATTGTTTAGCTATTTCGATGTTTGATATAAGTTGAAAACCGTTTTTTAAAAATTGGATGCTTTAAAAAAAAAATGACTATTTTATGCAGGTTGGTTCAGCAAACCTTTGATACAAACATACAGCCAGGTCATGGGCAATTTTCTTTTCTTTTTCTTTTTCCCTATCATGCTTGTATGTTTCTAGCACACAGGATTTGTTGTCAGTTTACAAAATACTTTAAGAATACATCACCCTCTTTAGAGAATACTATTTTGTATATTTTTTCCTATTTTTGCATTTACAAAAATAGCAAGCTTTTACTTATAAGAATATTTTTTTTCCAAGTAAACAACTAATCAGCAGATTCCGCACATATGTTCCCTGCCAGAAGGAAATGGCTTCACTGTTTTTCATTCAAGATGACATATTCAAATGTCAGCAATTGTCAGTGTCGGAAATCTGCTGCTGTAACATTATTTTGTTAGGTGAAAAGTGATTTTGCCATTGTTGGGTATCTAAAGTTTACAGCTCCAACACTGCTGCACTATGTAAGTAGCCTTTCAATATTTGCTTTAAAACAGCACGTGTTTTTAGTTAAGATTCGTTTTTTGTATGTTACAAGCTATAGTCAAAGCTTAGATTATTTCTTAATTAACTTTTAATTCAGTATGTTGAACTGCTGTATTTGTGCTCTGTATTGCTTTTTGTAAATTAAAAGGAAAAGTTGCCAAAGATGTTTATATCATATACTGCTTCATAGCCAACCTTAGCTCTGCCTGAACAGACCGGTAGATCAGGCCCCGGGAGCTCTTACAGTTTGATTGACAACTCTTCATTAAAATGTATTTTATAACATCTTTTAGGTTCCTTCCTATTGGTGGCATGCCATCCCGTGACTACATCCGCTTTGCTTTATAAAAGTGTCCCCCCCTTTTCCCCCACACATGCACATGGAAGCCTGTTTATTGTTGGGTGAGCAGTATGGTAGTCTCTGTCAAAATCCTTCCCACTTTGGCACATCAGAAGCCAATAACATGCAGTTAAGATTGTTCTTCTGAAGTATTTTTTATCCTGCTGCATTGGAGAATGTATGGACAGAGACTGACAGACTGCCTCCTCGCCAAGCTTCCAGGCAGGTGAGGCAGCCTTTACAAAGCAAACAGATAGTGTGAAAGATGAGAAGATGCTGGGAACACAGATGGGGCTCATACACTATTATCTTCAGGACCATACCACCTACTTGGCAACTTTTTCTATTTAATTCAGTAACTATGGTCCCATTGCATTACAGTGGCAACACTGCATCAATGTAGCAACATGAGTAATAATGTACTTTGAATGTGAGAGGTCAGAGAGGTGTTCTATGTATAAAGCAAGAACAATGCTATAGACATTTTTTTCACTGGAATGCGAAGCTAACAATTTGCCAAAGCATCTTATAATCTAAGGCTGACCCTTTGAAAATGTTCATTTCCTTTTTCTCGTCTCACTCTGCACAATTTATCCTAGTGCTTTAAAAAAAATATGTAGATCTAAGCGAGGTGGTCAGTCATGTTTACAGAGTCACAATCCAATACAGCTCGTTAGGCAGGGATCTTTGGCACACATAGTGATGACTTATTTGCAAGGTTGACTGATATGCAAGGTTTTTCAAAATAAAAAAGCTTTAAGTTGCTTCTCCAACTAAGCGTTACTATTTCTATACTTTCCCCCTGACGCAACAGTGACAGAACACTACACACAGTCATTTTGAGACCCACACCTGGTAGACTGAGGAAAAGAAACTGCCTTCATCAGTGAGATATACAGATCCAGAGGGGCTACATGACTGTGGGGAGGTATTGTTCCCTGGGAAAGGGTTAAAGATGGGGAATAATTAGTGGGATCTTACTTTATTAGAGGAGAAGGTCAGGTGTCCAGAAGGAGTTACCTGGGAAGGATCTGCAGGGGCTGCTGGGAGTCCTTTTGGAAAGTCCGCAGAGAAAGCAAGTTGCCCCACCCACCCTCCCTTCTTTTTTTTTATAGGTGGGGGTTTTTTTCATTTTTTTATGTGTTTGTCATGGCAGCTTGGCTGGTTAAGGGATCTTTGGAGATTAACAACAATAAAAAATAAGGGGGGGAATCTAATAGTATGGTGTTTCACCTGGTGGAGTCAGTAGTGGACGGAGGCCTTGCCCCTTGGGGAAGTCAGGAGT